GAGGATCCCCCCAAAACGGGACAATTTCACTTTAGGCATTTCTGTTCCGCCCAATTTATACTTCCGGACAGTTTTCAATTTGGAACCATTTTGATTTAGGAAATGTTCATTTTGCTACAGTTTCATTTTAGGAAATCTCCAATCCGTCGTACCACCAAATGATCAGACACTTACTATAATAGCTCGAAGAGCATCGTCGACTCGTTTATACGTCACGTATGCTGTATGACTAGGCGGAAGATGCGGTGCCGGGAGCGACGCTTTCTCACTCGTCACTATTTTTTGGATTTTACCATAGCGTCCAAAATATTCGTTCTTTTTCAGAATTTCCGGATCTGAAACACGAGGCGACAACCCCACAACGTAGACAAGGTTTTTCTGGAGAACGCGGTAATTGCAGAGATGCTGCCGAGCGTCAGATAATTTCGTCTTCTCTGCTTGCTTTTTCTGCCTTTGCTCGTCTTTATGCTTCCGCACATCGTCGCTCGTCATAGGCTGAAAATGACAATTGAGAAAAATGAGCTACCGAAAAAAAACCTTGAAATTGACGGGGTCCTCAGGGTATGGCTGACGACAAGCCGGACACAATCCATTTTCGTCAGTTCGTATGCGATGCCAGCAAAATCGGCAAATCTGAAAAAAAAAATTTTATAAAAAATTTTAGGCCTAAATTTCAGTCGACTTACTTGATATTCACATTTGCATGGATAAAAATTGATGTCGTCTAGTTCGAGGGTTTCCATGCACAAGGGACACTGAAACAATTCATTTTATATTTCTGAAAGAAAATCTCCCGAAACTTACTTCCTTATCGGACATTTCATCGCTGCAGGTTGACATTATTCAGGCGAGAAGCAAACAAGTGAGGATTGAGAGTGAAAACACTGAAAATAGCGAAATTGGTTTGACGGAAGCTCGAAAGAAGAGAAAAAATGAGACTAGCGAAAAGTGCAGCATGACCGCTTTGCCGATCGATAAATCGTGAGAGAACACGAAACACGAGCGCCGCAGACGGCAGTAGTAACAAGAGAAAGGAGTTGAAAAACGAGATTCGCCAAACTGACACTGAAATGAGGAAAGAAGCAATGGAAATAGAAAATTTTTCTAGAAAATCAAGCATAAGAACTAGAAGAAGTGAATATGGGACGGAGGGACGACTCTGTGCAGAGCTCTGCTTCATAGAGAGCATTTAAATTTTTGGTTACGGCTAAAAAACAATTTGAGACAAGTAGGAAACCATTGATTGATTTCTTCTTTTCTTGGTCACCTTTCAGAAGAGTTTTCCCTTTTTATTCGATCGTTCACTAACGCATAGTAGAAAACCTCTCCTTTTTTATGAGTCAGCAGCATAAAATCAATATATCGACTTTAGGTTATTTTATTCTGCAAAGGGAGTTTCTTTTTTTCCCATTTTTTCATAATTTTTTAGTAAATCAAAAAAAGGAGACCGATAAAGAATTTCCAGTTGTCATTGAGAAAAACTAAACTTTTTCTTTTCTCGAACTGTTCCGCTGTCGCAAAAATCCAAAACACGACCGAAACGATCGAAAATAATATCGGAATGCGTCGACGTTCGTCACGAGACATCAACAAAACTGAACAGCCTCCTCCTTGACTTCTGTTACTCTCTAAAAATTGCAGAAGAACAACGTCATGTGACGAAAGAGAGCGCCTCGTTCCAGTCCTTTTTTCTAGATGCTCTCACACACTTAACAATCACTTTTTTCAATAATCCGATAGCTCTTGAATCGGGCTATCTAATGATATCAGAACCATAAGAATCCGTTGAGGTTGAGCCACCGAACGGAGCCAACAAAGAAGTATTGATGGGCTGCGCGATAGGGAGGGAGGCGAAGGGTCGAAGTGGAAGAAAAGAGAGGAAAAAGAGGGCCGCTGCGAGACCCGCCGAGTGTTATAATGCGTGCGCCTTTAAGTCGGCGTCTCTCACTACGGTACATCTGAAATCAACTGCCGCTGGTCTGTCGTCTGGCTGCGAAGATTTATCGGAAATTCTACCTAAATTTCAGAACTTTTCCTAGTGTTTTCTAGATAAACGCATTCAATAATGGAGGTCGACTCGGCCAACAATCGGCATGCTGCAGTTTTAAAACGAAAAGCCACCGACTCGATCAACGAAGTTCTCTCATTTGGCCAATCTTCGAGTAGTCCACAAAAACGGTTTGTTTTAGAGTATTTTGTCCTTCGGAGAGTGTTCATTTTAGGACTAAAAAGACGCCTCTTCACAAAATTCGGGACGTTGAAGCTTATAAAAAGATCATCAAAACATACAAGGTAATAAGTCTCGTTTTAAAAATAATTAAAAGTTGAAACATCGAAATATGCTTCTATAAAACCTTGTCTACAATCTGAAACCGCAAAACAGGGGTTAAAAGAAGCCTATGTCATCAATTGGTGTTTTGCATTTATTGATTTGCCGGTCGCCTGCTTTCTCCGTCGCCCCTATTATGCTGCAGATCTGTTTTATCGGCTGTCTTAATCAAAGCAGCCTGACAAGAAAATTGAATCTTCATCGTTTCAAGCAAACATCAAAGACTCTTTCCAGGCTCCTACGTGGTTCGGATGCGCTGTATCGCCTCGCGACCTCGCCGATTACGGATGGGAGTGTGTCAAGAAAGATTGTGTAAAATGTGTGGAATGCGAGGAATTACTGTGCACATCTCTTCCAAATATTTGCAAAGTATCATTCAATGTCTACAACTCGAGGCTCCAGTCAGTGTTGATTCCGAAAAACCGCAAAAATCAGTTTTATTTCAGAGAAATCCACGATCAATTGTCGTCAGCTCACAGAACAACGTGCAAACTCCGAACGGGTGCCCCTCCAATCCGGTTTACAGAACCTACATCGAAAGAAATTATGAGCGGAATTCAGAGTAGGCTCTCCGATAGTAAGAGCATCGAGGATGATGACTTCGTTGTGGTTCGTTACTAATATATGAAGAATGTATTCGCAATCTTTATATTTTCAGCACATTCCTTCAGATGTCAATCTCCCGAAATTGGAAGGAATCTCGGACCGGCTTATGTATGTGGCTGCTCTTGGCTGGCACGTCACCAAACCAAGACGGGGCACCCTCATGTTTGGCTGCGACTATTGCGCCAGAGAATTAGCTATTCGGTTGGTGTTTTTCAGCCGGTCTTTTTAAAGTTTTCATAGTTCCAGATGTGGAAACGGTTTCGATCCGATTCACAACCACGAGCGTTGGTGTCCAAGAATCGACATGGATGAGCACGGCGAACCAAGTTGGCAATCTGACATCAGTATCGTATTGAACACGAAGAATCGCGTCAGCCATAGAGTGAGTAAACCTCATTTGAACAGAGAACTGAACTGGTTGCGAGCTAGTTGTCAAGGGAATGTCAGCATCTTCCAACCCCATATTTTGAAGATCAGATTGGTTAAGAAAATCTATCTAGGCAACTCCTCTGAAAATTTAAGAATTCGCTCACCAGTTACAGCCGAGTTATTTGAATTCTAGTGAAAAAAAAAACGATTTTCAAAGACGTATTTCTCAACTTCTAGGACGTTTCAGAACAAGAAATTTGATATTTCAGGCAAAAATTTTCGAATAAAACTCCCGTCCAAGTGGTGGAAAAATTCGAAAAAAAATTCTAAGAAACTGTCTGGAATATGAAATTTCATTCAATTCGAAGTATAAGACAACAAATTTCATGGTTTGAAACGAGTTCTAAAAGTTGAGAAAAACAATGTTTTTTCAAATAAAACGCGATTTTTGTCACTGGAACTCGTTTAATTCGGCTGAAACTGGCGAGCGGATTCCGTAATTTGCATACGTGTTTAGATAGGCTATTCCTAATCTGCGCTGAAATTTTCATCAAATTCTGGGTTTACAAGGTTTTGAGGTTCCCTTGTTAGATTAGCAATGTGGTGTTTTTTTGAATCTTTAACCGCCAAAACTGACTGAAACCATACTTGTAAAATTCCGGACCGGCCCGCCAAGGCCTAGGCCCGGGCCTTGGCCCGGCCCGGAAGGCCCGGTATCAAAAATCCTGTATTTTTGAGCGACATTTTGAGCTCTTAATATAATTTTTTCGAATTTTTTTTCTTCTTGGATTGTTTGTCTGTTTGATCAAAAAAAATCGAAAAAATGTTTTTGATTATGTGCTTTTTGAAATTTGAAAATCATGTGAAATGACGGACCCGGCCCGTTACAAGTATGGCTGAAACCTTATTTACATGTTTTCAGTATTCCGGATCGTCAATTTTCAAGGAGGCCTACGCTGCTCGTCGCCTGATCGATAGCTCGCTTTCGACAATCATCAGTCCCAACCTCCTTTAAAGAATACCTCTCGTGCTTCTCGTTGTTCAATCAGTGCCTCTACTTAGAGTTGACTAGTTCTTTCAGTTGGTATATTCGTGTTTTCTCTCTCGCGTTACTTGATCCAAACAATGCCAGCTTTCCATCTCTCACCTGTTGCCGTTTTATTTGAAACCGGAACCTCTCGCCCCTTCACCCCATCCAAATCATGTTTCTATCCTCAATTAATATTTTCGTTTCTCATTCATTCAATTTTTATATGTAGTGTTCCCCTCATTCATTTTTGTGGCACAATCGACCTCAGACGGGTCCTTATCGTCTTTTCGTTTTCCAAAAGGTTCCTTTGCGTCTCAAACTTTCTCCCATCCCAATCATCTGTGCTCTGTGAGTCAGAAATTCAACTGCAATGAATTTTGAATACCATTTCTTCCCCTTTTAGTCTTAAATATCAGTTGCTTTCCCGGATTTCTCTTGACTCAAATGAAGTTATGAAAATAATGAAATTAATAAATCTAACATTCATTAAACTGAAATCTAAAAAAAAAAAACAAAAAAAAACAAATTGAGCAAAAAGGAAAGAAATCAAGAGAATTGAGAATACCCATGGTGGTTTTGGAGGTAACAGGTGATAAGAAGATAAAAGATTATTTAGAGGATCCGAAGGCTTTTGCAAGTATTCCATTTCGCTTCACAGTGCCAGACATTTTACGTTCGCTTGCTACGTTCGTTGCAGGACCAGCTGAAAAAATACGTTATCAAGGATCCGTTGTTTCAGGCATATCCAGCATTTTGCTTATTCAAATTAAAAATTGTTTAATTTGTTTTGAAACTTCGCCCCGCCCCCCGCAACGATGGATATTTTGCTCTTAACCGTGTTTTTATCAGACAGCCATAATAAATTCACTTTTTAGCTGAAAAAAACAGAAATTCAAAAATATGATAACCACAGATGCGTTTTTCTATAATATTCGGGTTCACTATACAGTTGGTTCATCCACTGACTGATTGAACGGTTGCCTGAATAAGTAATGCATATGTGCTCATCAGAAGCAGCCCGACAAAATGCTATCATCTAAATAACAACACAATAAAGATTAAAACATGCCAATTCTCGTGGATACTACTCCAGTCGTCGATAAGTGCATTCCTCCATTCATCGTACTTCTTCGAATCGGAGTCGATGATAAAATGGATGGATTATTATTGGGTTCCCTTGGAAGACTGGAACTCCGTTTAGCCATTGCCGTTGAGTATGAAGGAGGAGTTGAGGAGGTAACAACTGAAGATTGATACAACACTACCCAGAAAACTTTCTAGAAAGCAAAATAAGGAACTAAGGTGCAATATGATTTTTAAAAAAAATTAATTATAAACGAACCACTTATCGACTGTAGTGCCGCTTCCAGTTTTTCAATTTCGGGAGACAGAGGTCTCACAGCAGATGTATTCGTTATCACAGAAGTCATTGGCATTGTAGATGATGCGGATTGAGGACGACGTACGGATGTAGAGGAGACTCCCATTACGGGAGTTTTCTTTACTGGAGAACTCATTGTACGGGGTCTGAAATTGAATATTATGATTTCTGTCTTTCATTTCCAAATCTCACGGATTAGAGCTGGATGCTGGAATACTGCCAATAGGAACTCGAGGGGCTGGAGCTGTTGGCGTCTGTGGAGGGGCTCTTGGTAGCCTACTTTTCTCTGTTGGAAATGTACTGGAATTAGGAATTCGTGCTGCTTGGGGAGCCGGTTGGGGACGAGTCGCAGGGGCTGTTTTAGCCCCTCGATTTGCCGTTACCAAGGAATCAGGAGCCAGTTGCGGTAGTTGATGCTGGAATTTTTGGAATTATCAAAATGTAAGATGAAGCTACAGAGTTTTAGAGTACTAAAACTTTTCTCATTACGAATGAATAGAGACCTACCCCGGGTTTATCGATAGACATTTTTGCTCCCGTCAGTGTCAGATTCCTCCTCAACATCTGAAGATCAGCCTCTTGTCCTCTCACTGTTTCCCGAAGACTCAAATTTTCAGTCTTCACCATTTTTTGAGTCTTCGTTAGAGATTCTCTCTCAGCTCTCAAAAAAGTGACCTCTTTTTTCAATTCTTCAATCAGCTCTCGCTCATTTAGTGCATTCGATGATCCAGCTGAAAGAAGAAATATTAGTTTTTCTTTAGGATTCTAGTACTTACGTTTATTAGGATCCGATGACTGTGCAAGCATCATTTTCTCAGCTTTAACCCTCAATTCGTGCATTTTCAGAAGCATCTGTTTTCTTTCTTGTATCAAATACAACACAATCGATTCATGTCGCTTCTTCTCATTTCCAAGTGTCATTTCCATTTTATCCTTTGCTATCTCCGCTTTTCTTTTCTCCTCAATGTGAAATTCGATTTGCTGTTGCAATTGATTTCTCTCCTTTTCCAAGTGAGCGACTAGATCGTCTCCTTGTTTTGCATATCTGGAATTATAAATTAAAGGTTTCAAAACAGTTAAAGAAATAATATGCAAAGAAAGACACCGTATTCCCGCTTATAGGAGCTCATCTAATTTTGAGATCAATTATCTCGATTCTTGTGAAAGATATCAGAATTTTGTCAACTGATGAAATATTGTGGGCATTATGATAAACAATTTATTGATTGACAAAATTTTGATATCTTTCACAAGAATCGAGATAATTGAGCTCAAAGATAACGACTTTGGAGGACTACTATTTGAGGAACTACAGTAATTGAATTTTAGAAAACTCACAAACCTTATTTTGGCCTCTCTATCAGCTTCCAGCTTTTTGACCAATTTATGCTGCTTCTTTTCAAGGGCAACGAGGAGCTGAAATTTTTAGGTTTTGTTAAGAACTGTTTTTCTGGAGAACCCTAAAATCTGTACAACTCTAATAGAGAATTCATGGTATAAATATAATTACAAGTAAAAGGGTCCTGCTGAAAAACTGCTCAAGAGGTGCAAACGGACGAGTTGGCAGTCATTCGAGAGAACCATTGACGGACAATGGGCGGACCATTGGAACTTTTTGGAAAATCTTCAGATTCAACATTTAGATTGAAAGTTAGCCAGAAAACGAATTTCGATACTGATTATAGGATATTGATATTTTGAAGCTAATATTTCTTTTACGGAATTTTTAAAATCGAGAATCTCTGGAATAATTCGGAAACTCCTGATAAAAGTTTTTACACAAAGCTATCGATATCTTGTTGTTTTACAGCCCTTAAACTGTTTTACGACCCAATAAAACATCCAACTCACCACAGCTGCATTCCTCTGCGATTTCTTCTGAACATCCATCATTTTATCCAACTGATCCACCTGTGATTCGTACATCTGCACAATTTTATCCTCGTTTATCTGCTCTCCAGTTATAGCTGAATCTCTTCTCAATGCAGCAAACGGATCATTCATATTCAATTTTCCATATTTCGCTTCCGCCAATAAGATTTTGGTTCTTTCCTTCTTCAGATGGTCAATGACGTCTTCTCTTGCCTGTACTTCTCCTTCCATAAAAGCGAGAAGTTTCATTAGTTCATCACTTGAGAAGTCGTTCACTCTAGGCTCTTCAGGGACGTTGTCATATTCCGGTTGTTTTCGATTCGTAGGGAGTACCAGCTTCTGGAAATATAGGAATTGGATAATCATAGAGTCGATATTTTTGTATCAATTTGGTTTTTTGATACAATTAAATATTGTATTTACAATTAGTTCGGAATCGTCTTTTCATTATTTTCAAAACAATCTGGACTACTGTGTTTTTAATTATTCAAATTTTTGAAATTAAAAATCGTATTTCCTCTAATAGAAACTCGTAAACATCGTCAAGTTTGAGTTCAATCATCTCGATTCCTGCTAATGATATAAAAAGTCTGTTGAAAACAATTTATCAAATGTTTTTTGTATCTTTGGCGGGAACCGAGATAAATTGGCTCAAAGTTAAACATTGTCGATTTTTCTATTACATCTTTTACATTATTCAAAAGAGCTAAAAAAATTTTTATAAACTTTAAGCATTGATTTAAAAAACTTATATAAAATGTGCGAATCTGACAAAATACTTACTTTTGAGGTGGACTGAAAAGTCGGATCAAAATGATCCTCCAACAAATTCGGCATTCTGAAAGAAGCACGGCAAATGCCGTCAGGATAACAAATCTGTAAGGAACAAAAATTTGAGTGAATGTGAAAAATAGAAAATCATATATAACAAAAAATAGGAGGAAGCAGATTTAATATTTTGATGATGGTGGGGATAAGAAAAAACAAGAAGAATCAAAGAGACGGAGTCTTCTTCTTCTTCTGAGATTCAAGTGTGTAACTTCGATTCCGTGCTATTTCACAGTGATTGCTCAAGAAGAAGCGAAGAAGAGAGACGCAGGCAGTGTTGTCGGAAATATCCCCTCGCGGACTCTCACATGTCTCAAGAGCTCCACTGGCTCCGCTCCAAAGTGATGACACTTGTGAAGGAGTACTGGCCGGACGGACACCATGATATTGCAGAAGAGATAACCGAGTTTTTATGATGAAAAAGATGAGAACGAGATGTTCGTGTAGTTTCCGAGGGAAAGCACAAAGTTCAAAAGCACTATGTTATGAAGATGAGGGTGGAGAAGAGAAGAAAAATAAGATGGATTAGCCGACAAATTGATAAAGAGAAACCGCAAAGTGAACATTTTAGAACCTGGATAGGAAGGTATAGGCGATGTTAGGGAATGTGTGCTGAGGAGCTTGTGAACACATTTGTAAATATTAGATGACCAAAAACAAATAGAGAAGAGTAGGCTTCAAAATGATGACCCAGAGCTACTTTGGAGTATCATGTGAACTTTTTTTGTAGGCAGAATATTGTTCCTGTTCCATTGAAATAATTTTTTGAGAATTTTTCCTTTCAGATTTTACTGTTTCAGTAGGTATATAAGGATCAAATGCTAAAGTTCTAAAACATGTGCAGTGCTTTAACTATCTGTGGAATTTTTAGAAAATAAAGATATATATTCTAATTAAACCAAATTATGATTTAGTCGAAAGAGTAGTTGCATTGAACCTTCAGGAACTATTTATTCAAGTTCTGAGCTCTTTTAAAGGTGCAAGGAAAGTGCAAAAAGGATAACATGCAGAAATCAAGAATTCCAAATTTGTCCAGAAACCTACACATCCATCGACCGATTGTCTCAGAAAAAATCAATGAGTCTTCAAGTTCTCTGAACCGAAGATCACCTCGTGCAGATATGTTAACTTTCTGGTGAAAATGTTGTGTTTACGATGCGAATTTGCGATCTCATGCAATTAACAAACTTGTGATACATGCAGAAAAACGTTTTTTTAAACTGGCGGTCGTCGCCATTTCGATAAGAAAATGTCTGATGACGTCACGAGAAGTGCGCGTAAGATGTGAGGCATTGGGTCCGCAGAGGCACACCACTGTGTTTGCACACGATTTCAACAATCTTTTATTTTATTTTTTGTATTTATAAAAAAATAAAGAATAGTGAATAGAACATTTGTTTATTGTTTTATAAAATGAAATACAATTAACATCTGAAAAATTCTCAGCTCGATTACTCAATTTCTACGAAATTTCCTTTAAAATGATAGTTTTCTTCAAGGGGCAAACTGGCGTCGAATACTCAAGCAGTCCTAGAGTCGCTGAAGGCGGCTCGGAGAAGCTCCTCTGGAGTTTCAACATCTTCAATTCTTTCTGTTTCGTCTACTGCTCTTTCGCAAGCCATCAGCTCAATCGACAACGGGAAAAGTGCTGTAATTGTGGAAGTTGGTAGTAAATTGACAAAGTGAGAACAATTTCAGCAAAAGTTGAATATATCTAATTTATTTTAGAGTTGGATGTGCTGGAGAATTAAATCCTCGACTGATAATCCGAACAGAATATACCGATGATAACGGAAACCTAGTGACTGCAGATGAGATTCTGGCATTGAACGACCGAAAAACTGCTTCGAAATCTATTGAGTATTATGAGGATCTTCTTCATAAGTTCTTGAAAATGATATTTTTAAGGTAAGCTTTAAACAATTCAGGGAACTTCTTCTACGATTCATATTTCAGAGTTCTGGCACCTACTGACCGTCCAGTGATTGTTGTCGAAAGCATGTTCATGTCAGAAGATCTTCGAAAGACCATGACAAAAGTTATTGTGGAAAGAATTCGATGCAAGTCTCTTATGTTTATGCCATCACATGTTTGTGCCACGTTTCCGTTCAATACACAGAATGCTCTGGTTGTAGACATTGGATATTCAGAATGTGTTGCTGTTCCGGTAAATTTTTTATTAAAATTACAAAGGGTTTTATAATTATGAAGAAACCTGATTTCTCGACCGTTTTTTTACTGAAAAATGCAAACGCGCTGTTTAGTGGATGCCAATTTTTGACAAAATTTGAGGAGCCAGTTAGCTCCCTCATTGTGACTAGTAGCTCGAGTCATCAATTTTGAATTTCAGATTATTGAAGGAGTCACAATGCTCAACGAATTCGAATCAGCCCGGTCGGTTTGTGGTCGCCAATTGGAACGAAGAGTTCGAGAATTAATGGAAAAATACGGTCAGCTTGAGGAATTGGGTGGAGAGAGAAGAGCACTTGAAGAAGCTGATTGGGAAGATATTAATGTGTGTTTTCATTTCGTTTCTCATAAAATATTGTTCTTTGTTTCAGAATATTCGACTCATCGAAACGCTCAGTGTATCACTGATTTGTCTGGACCGAGAAAGATCGGAGAAATGGAAGGAGTGGGAAGCAGCAGAAGGAGAGAAGCCATCGATGGAAGTTCTGTGTGAAGAGAACCTAGTACCAGTTGGTGGGAAAAGTATCGTTGTGCCGCCTGTGGTTTTGTAAGTGAGAAATTATATTTGCTTTGTTTCATTGAAGTATTACAGTGAAACGTCCGTAGAAATCTTCTTCGACGAATCTCTGAACCCTGATTCTTTCGATTCGAGTCTTCCAAAAATTCTACATCGACTAGTTTCAAAGTGCTCAATTGATCTTCGCAGAAAACTCTTCCCGAACATTCTTCTCGCCGGCGGAGTTTCTACAATTCCAGGTCTTATGAAACGATTAGAAGTAGGTTTTATGTTTCAGGAGAATGATTTTTAACTAAATTAATTTTTTTTCCAGCAAGAGATTCAATATATCGATGAAAAAAACGAGACCAAATTCGCTGAAGTCGTTAAATTCTACCAGTTTTCTGAGATCAAAAACTCTCCGCTGTTCGTTTCGTGGGTTGGTGCAAGCTTGCTAGGATCGTTGCGAGAGACTATCGAACGGAGAAGTCTAACCCTGGATGAATGGAAAACTGGAAAATTGGCTGCCGATTGGACTGATATGATAGTGAAAGCTCGTTAAGGATCTATAATAATTTGCATGTGAATATCATATTTCTCGCTTTATTATTTTTTTTTCGGTTAATGTGTGTAAAAAAGTTCGAACCCATTTTAAAAATGTACAATCTATGTATTTATGGGGTTGGGCAAAAAAGGGGTAATTTATTGCTGTTTTTCTTTTAGTGATGGAATAAACGAAGTCCAGTGTGAATGAGAGTGATTCCGTGCTCATCGCAGGCTTCTTTGATCTCTTCGTCGCGAACCGAGCCGCCCGGATGAGCCACGTACGAGACGCCGAACTAAAAAAGGAGATACAATTTTGAAAGCGAAGTGCGTCACACAGTGTAAATTGAATTTAAGTCTCTCAACGGCTACTCTTGTTTTTTTTTGAACACTGAAGTGTACTCAAGGATGTTCGGAATTTTGGGAATTTTTCAACATTCGAGTTTCGAAGTAGAAATCCTATTTTCTCATCACGAATGCGCCAAAAATTGGTGAAAATTGATCTCAAAAAGATAAAGTAATTCCGCTCGACACCCGCAATTAAACTTTTCACGTGCGCCTTTAACATACTGTAGTTCAAGAAGCTCGAATTCCGTTTCGAGTATCCCTGGGAATGTACTAACCTGTTTAGCACAATCAACATTGTCCCGGAACGGAAGGAATGCATCGGAACTCATGACAACTCCAGTCTGTTGGCTGAGCCATTGCTTTCGTTCTTCCTGAAAAAATTCTCCCCAAATTGTTTTGGTTTTTTTTCGAAAAAAAAAAGAAATTGTTTTCTTTGAAAGTATCATTTCTCCATAACAGACACACAACTAATACCCATCCACTACGTCATCCTGTCCCATCAGATTATAAACTTTTCGGGAGCACGAAGGGATTATATAGCCCGCGGGTATACACGTACCTCAGCAAGCGGTTCCACGGGCTCATTGAAATATTGCTGCCATTGGTCAACAGCAATCTACAAATATTCAGATGATGATGACGATATTTAGAAGATGTTTGTTCATCTGGAAGCTTCATTAAAAAAAACTAACCTCTGATCCAAGAACTCCACTACACATCACGTCGATTGCATTCGATTTCTCGGATCTTTTGATGGCATTTTTCCATGGAAGCGAGAGGACAGTTGGGTGCTGTCGGAGCCACCTGAAAGAAGTTTAAAGTAGAAAGAAATATAATCAATTTGATAACAATTTCGTTTTTTGATTCTCTATATAAATGACGAGTCAACAGTCTGCGTTATCAGTTGGGGTGTAGTGTCCGGAAGGAGGTGGGAGGAGAAGAAAAAAGAAGAAAGGAAATCAATCATTTTATTAAATTTTGACATCAATAGTCTCTTTTTTCAGTTTGACAATTTTTTGTGAGGATATTTAAATATTTTACAGTCTTTGAATAGAATTATTCTCAGAGGGTTCAAATTTCTGTATATGCTGTTGCGCTCCAATGTGAAGGTGACAGGGCAAACGCCCGTGAAAAATTAATGTTGAGGTGGGAAAAATTGCGGGAAATTTGATTTTTCAACAGCCTAAAACTTCGCCACCCCACTTTCCCAATATAGGGCAACAGCATACCGCAGCAGTTCGAACCCTGTTGGTTATCAATATATTTTGGAACTAGTTTTTTTTGTTTGTTTTTCTCTGAATAATAGCTCCCGAGAGACTTGGAACTTTTTGCTTTTTTGTTTGGAACAGATGAGTAGTGTATTTTTGACGTCTTCTGAAGAATACGTCATATGTGCGTGACGCAACTTCTAAAAAAGGAAATGTTTCATTCGGAGATTTCTAAAATTCGATTCTGAAGAGAAGAAGGAGCATGACGAAATGTGTAAAAATAGTTGATACAAAGAGATTACTGTAGTTGATTCTGACTACCTCAAACCATCAACTTTGTGTTCATATATCTCGTTTTCCGTAGAAAATATCAAAAACTGGTCCACTGATAAAATTTTTATCATAATGTCCAAGTCATTTTTCAGTTGATAACTTTTTGATATCTTTCACAGAAACCGAGATAAATTAGAGTGTTGATGGTATTCTATTTTTGCAAAGATCTTCTTCTTCATTTAAATATCTTTGACACCAATTTTGTCCACTTATTATAATCCCTATTTTCCTTGAAATGACCCCAAATTTAGTAATGTCAGGACCCAATTTAGTACGAGTGACGTGCCCAGTTGTACCCATATTTGGAAAAACGGGGTCACAAATCCTCTCATTAATCAAATCGTTCTCTGTCTATTTTTGCATCTCGCACCTCTTCTTTTCGTCTTCCAGGCTTCAGTATTGGAGCAACAAACGTCACCGATCGAGTGGTCAAACGAAGTGGGCGTGGCGAACTGCTGCCCACCGAAAAAAGAAGTCTCTTTTAAAGAGAAGAAGCGAAGGACCCGAAGGTTCTCTTCACACATTCGCCCATTCATCTATTTCTCATCTTATACGGTATCTTATTCCTGGTTTGGCTTAATTTTTATTCGGAAGAGTTTCAGCCACAGATGAGGCCGCCGTGAATCAATTGAGGAAAACTCTTCGAAAGAAAAGGAAAAAATAAACATGTTGATTCCAGCTACACTGATATTGCTGTTGATCAGCGTTACGAGCCAGCTTCTTATGTTCGATAAAGGTAAGAAAATTCTGAAATTTGTATGTTTTCTGATATGTTCCATTGTTGCCTATAGGGTGGCGCATAATTACTCCGGACTAAAATTTGTACTAGCGTAAAACTTGAGTAAAGCCTTGTACTGAGCTCACATTTTGAATTCGAAAACTCAAATAATTCATCATTAAACGACCCAAGTTTCAAATTATTTGATCACCTTTGAGCTGAGTTATCGCTTGTCAAAGTTTTATATTTCATGGAAATCACAAGAAACATTACGCGGTTCATCTTTGAACAATCATAACAAAACCTCGACTTGAGGAATCGCTTTGAAAATTTCAGTAGCTTCGAACCAAACGTAAAATAATATTTCTACCAATTTTCATTTTTCCAAGATACTTATGTTTGAAGATATAACAGTTTTTATCAGCCTAGGTAATTGTGCGCTACCCTGAATTAGAGGTGATCGAATTAAATTCCCTTGCAAAGTTTATATTCTAATCAAGGGTTAAAAATATTCTGAAGCCTCTTATCATTAACTCAAGTTTGACCCAACATCATTTTTTAATCATTCAAGTGCATTTTAAAGACTCGATCAATTTCAAAATTTCTAAAAATTAGGAAAATAATTAAAATGATCATCTAATTATGTTTCATAACAAATTAAGACATATTGAAAATAAAGAAAGACGATACAGTGCACGAAAATGCAGTCAACATTTTTTTCAGTGGAAGATGACCATCCATGTCTTCTATCAATGTGTGATCAAGATTCTGGATGTGTACCACTTGGATGCTCAGTCGATCAGTTCGAGAGAATCGGTTGTGGATATTTCAGGCTGAACATTTATCAGTTCCAGGTAAAAACCTGAAAACTTGGACTAGTAGTAAGCTAAGTCATGCAATTTCAGCAATGCTATCAACCCGGCAAAAAAGACGAAGAAACTGAGAATGAGGCATGGATGAATTGCGCTCAAGACTATCAATGCTCGGCTTCTTGCATTCGGGTAATTCTTTTTTGAAGATCGTAGATCAAAAATATACTTCGCACCTTGATAGGCAAATATAGAAAAAAGGAAATGACCGATCGCTGATAAATGTGTGTCATTTTATGATTTCTATCTCCTCCTAGTTTTATGATCGACTGTACGAATTTTCTTCTCCTTCTCCAAAAAAAAGTATTTTTTGGTCTTATTCACCCTCCAAGAAGCTCGTCTGTGACGTCCGTAGTGTAGGGACAGAATAGAATAATAGAATGCTCATAATAGAGAGAACAAAAAACAGCAGAGACAAAAACTAAACTTTCCAGACCCTGGCCAGCAAATTTCGTGTCAAGTGCTATGGGAAATCAGACTGCGAGACAATTGCACGTATTCACGATGGAGGAGCGAACGGATGTCGGGACAGAGGGACCATTGGATATTGGAAAAGAGTTCGAGATTCTTGTGGCCCAGAATGCAACAAACCCATCTTTACAAGACATTTTTATTGATGAATTGTTTTATTTTTGAAACATTACATTTCTTGCCCATTCTACTATTTTTAGAGCATCTCAATTGGTTTTTTGTGTTGCTCTCTAATAAAAATATTTTTAGTAAAATTTGGAGTATTTGTTTTGGGATCTATTTTCGAAGTGTTGGGAGGTGAAATATTTGAGTGATTCAGAAGTTCTAGAAATAGGTTTGTCCTCTATTTGATTTTATCTCAAAATAACAAAAAAACTGCACGTCATTCCAAGAAAATTCATAAAAATAATGGTGAAAACCTGATTTCAGCTTAATTAATTTATAATTCTCTGTCATTTTCAGTCAATAGATTTTCGAAATTAACGATTAAAAAATTTAAACGCTTCATCTGCTTTCTGATTCCGCTATAGGAGAGAAATTGAATCAGCTTCCCAGTGTAATTAAGTCTAGTAATTAATATTAGGCCTTTCCAGGCCCACTGACTTCTCTGATGAAAAACCCACCAAACTTTGAGTCTAATTATCTCGATTCCTGTGAAAGATATCAAACAATTGTCAACTGATAAAACATTTGTGATACTATGATGAAAATTCTGTCAGTTGATCACTTTTTGCTATCTCTTACAGAAAACGAGATATTTAGGTTTAAATATGACGGTTCGGGTGGAGTTCTATTAGAGTGTTTACGGTAATTCTAACATCATTTTACCCTTCTATTCATTTCGTTTTTGTTTTCAAAAGTCTTACCAGTTGACAGCTTTGTCTCCAGCCAATCGCGTACAATGGATACGAGACTGCTGACCTGCACCCATTCCGATGACCTGGAAAAAGTATGATGACATTCGAAAAGAGCGGAAATGGACGATTATGTGAGAGGGCTATTGTTCCTTTCAAAAATAGAAACACAGCAAGGTCTCAGGAAAAAGCCAGCTGAGATAAAACTACGTAAGAGGGGTTCTGCTGATCATGATCTCTGGAGTTTACCTGTCCACGATGAGCAAAGCAAACGCTGTTGGATTGGGCATATTTCAGAGCAATAGTGGCCACAATCAAGTCGTCGATTGCTTGCTTGTTTAACTGAAAACATTTTATCCTTGATATCTGTGTTTCTATTTCTCTAATCTCACTCCATTTTCTTTTCCAACCACATTAGTGAACGTTTCTGCATTAATAACGGCATTGTTTCGTTTTTGTCGAAGTCTCAACCCAAATACAGTACGTTCCTCAGTCTCCGATGGTAGATAGTTCGGGTTGATCTAGATAACAAAAAGGTAATTAAATGTTTCAATAAATGATAGATTACCTTCAGGACACAATAATTTCCATTCTTCTTTTTGGCAAGAAGAGAGAGGGCAGCCGGATCATAATCAGGGGCAACCACACCATCCGATACTTCTCTGGAAAGTTGGGGAATTCGATTTCTTGATTAATCTTAAGTCATATACGCTAGAAGAATTCTAGAAGAATTTTTAAGGGTCCTCTGATAAAGAGGCGGAAAAACAATAGTGTCGGAGAACAGTGTGGCGCATAATAACCCGTAAAAATTTGTATTAGCATAAAATTTGAGTAAAGCGTTGTACTAACTAGGGAAGGTTGTAACTGGGGTATGGGACTTTGATATGAGGCCTATATCATTCGAAAGCTGAGAATGAGACATTTTCAAATATATATTCAGATTTTGCTGCGGACATTCCAGATCCGAGAAAATCGAATTTGAAATTTGGCTGAAATTCGAATATTTTGAGGGCCAGATCTCCCCCCTTTCTTATATGCATTGTGGAACTAGTTGAAAGCAGCGACTGGTGGTGTAGCGGTGAAGAGGGAGGACGGTAACTGACTAGGGTTGGGTTCGATTCCTCTCTCCTTTGTTTGTTTTTGTTTTTGTTTTCGGTCTTTGTGGAAATCTTCAAAATGTTCCGAACACATTTTTCAAAAAAAAATTCATTTTGATACTGAAAAATTGTACTTTCTTAAATGTTTTAAGTAATATCAATTTTTTGACTATTTCGTTAATCAACACTAAACACTTTCACACAGCTTTTGTTTGTCAATGTTCAAGGATGGTTCGTTTTAAGAGCCACACATCAATCAGACATGATTTGTGTCTATGTTTTCTCAAATTTTGAGTGTTACTGGGCGATCATCGTAGTACTACGGTTTGTTGAAAATCAGAAAAAGAATCAAAATGTCTTGATCCCGAGAAGAAAATAGGTTATCAAATTTTGTAAAAACCTAATTTGCTTGTTCTTTTTCGTTTAATACCTTTTCAGCCGAAAAAAAATTTTTCAAAAATTTTCAAAAAAAAAGTCAAGGGGGTACCCCATGGAACTTTTTTTCAAAATTTTTTTCTGAAAAAAAAAACGCTTAAACTTGGTCAATTGTACGGAAACTTCTAAATTTGCGATCACAATAAAAAAAAACATCCAAAATCTTTTGTAAACCATTAACTTTCTATTCTCAAAAGTCAAAAAGTGGTTTGAAAAAATGACTCAAAAATAGTTTTCAAAAGCATGTAACCACAATTTCAAACAGTTTCAGAGAACACAGTATGATCCTGTAAGTTTTTCATGTTTTTTCAAAAAAAAAATTTTTTTGGAAAAAAGTCACCATGGGGTCCCCCCTTTGCTTTTTCAAAAATGAGATTTCAAACTCGATTTTCTCGAATATGGTAAGTCCGCAGCAAAATCGAATTACATTTTTGAAAATGTCTCATTTTCAGCTTTCGAATGATATAGGTCTCATAACGAAGTCCCATACCCCACAAACAACCTTCCCTAGTAAGCTCAAATTGGGAGCCCGAAAACCAAAATAATTAATCAGAAAACTTGACAAGTTTCAAATTTATTGAAAGCCTTGGAGCTGAGTTATCGCTTGTCAAAGTTGCTTCCTTTTATGAAAATCGCAAGAAACATTACACCATTCATCTTTGAACAATCATAACAATACCCAGACTTGAGGAAACGCTTTGAAAATTTCAGTAGCTTCAAATCAAAAGTAAATTTATAATTCTACCAACTTTCGTGCTTCCAAGATCCTTATGTCTAAAGATACACCCGTTCCATCAGTCCAAGGGTAATTTTGAGCCGTCATCTAGTTGGGATAACATTTCAGATTTTTATAACATTTTTAGTGAGGCAGTCAGATTATTTTTGAATTTTTGAACACAAACCTGTTAATAATTTTAGCCGTAAGTTCATCACATTTTTCGGAAAGAGCAATAAAATCTCCAAACGAAGACATTCGATCAGCTCCTGGAATTGAAAAAGGTTATGATTCAAATACAAAAAATTCAATAACCAATTCTGATGGCCAAAATCTATCTGGAACAAAAAAAAAACTAAAAATTCTGTTCCAGAAATTCAAAAAACCGTCAGAAAGGTATTACATACGATATGAAACAAAAAAGCCTGAATCAAGGAGTCGGACCACAGTGATCTCCTTCTATTTTCTGACAAAAATAAATAAAACAAGAAGCATTGCAAATATACATAAATTATATGAGGCATCTCATACCAACAGATGGTGCAAATCGTTGAAGACGATCATTGATAATCCAATCCTGCTCTAAAGTGTGAAAGAAAAGTGCAAAAAAGGATAGAAGTGGTTTCAAAAGGGGGATTAGTTTGTGACTGTGATAGTGCAAGGAAGAAAAAAACAAAGTGAAAGTAAAGGGGAAAGTGAAGTGATACAGGAAAGTAATCATGACACACTAGGATGATTCCAGAAAACTGGATATCGTTTTGAAATAAAAAAACCGACCTCGGGCACGAGCGTATGCAGCAGCCAGTGATGCTTTCTTTGGGTCGATTGGAAGATCCGATACCATACAACACGCTGATTCTGTTTCATTCAATGGGAGACCAATAGCAGCTCCTGGAATAACATCAATTAAAAAAAGACTCATTATGAACATCAGAAAGAGGTACATCGGAAGTACACCGAGTTCTAAAAGGTGGTGCGTAATTTCCCGGATTGATAAAAACTTATACATTTTTAAGTATCTTGGAAACACGAACATTGGTAGGAATATAATTTTACGTTTGATTCAAAGCTACTGAAATTTTCAAAGCGATTCCTCAAGTCGAGGTTTTGTTATGACTGTTCAAAGATGAACCGCGTAATGTTTCTTGTGATTTCCATGAAATAGGAAACTTTGACAAGCGATAACTCACTAGGGAAGGTTGTGAACTTAGGTTGGAGTTTCCGGTCGAGACCTATATCATTCGAAAGCTGAGGACACGTCCGTTCCGAATCTGTTTTTCGTTTTTGCTGCGGACCTACCAGTTTCGAGAAAAATAAGTTTTAAATTTAGACCACTGAGCCATTCAATCGACATTTTCTATTGTTTCAATTGTATTTAAGTATTTAGTGTTCACGCGATTCAAAATTCCCATTTTAATTGAAGAAATCAGTAGAAAATCCAGAGTAACCCAAATTTAAAACCTATTTTTCTCGAAACTGGTAGGTCCGCAGCAAAAACGAAAAACAGATTCGGAAAGGGCGTGTTCTCAGCTTTCGAATGACATAGGTCTCGACCCGAAACTCCAACCTAAGTTCACAACCTTCCCTAGTCAGCTTAGGGTTGATCAAACAATTTGAATTTTGGCCAGTTTACTGATGAATTATTTAAATTTTTGCACTCTAAATTTGAGCTCAGGATAACTCTTTATTCAAGTTTTATGCTAATATAAATTTAGTCCGGGTGATTATGCGCCATCCTGTATTAAGAAAACAAGTTAGTTTTTGTCCTCTCAGAAATTAGCTTAAATTTTTTAAGTTTCCAACACTGTACTTACCCGCTGGCGAGACATGCTTGAACGAAGCAGCAGCTGGCATTTTAGTAGCATCACTGAGCTCTTTGACCAATTGCCATCCATTGAGTCCATCCAAAATGTTGATATATCCCGGTGAACCGTTCAAGACTGAAATCATTGAATGAGGAAGTCTTTTTGAAAGAGTTTTTGATTAAATACCTTTCATCAGACAATCAATTATTCTAATAGGGAAATAAAATTTGTTTTGTGATGGATGCTCCTCGGCGGAGCAAGAGATCAACAAGAAATAAAGAAAAAGAAATGGAAAGGAAGAACACTTGATAGTGGCCGAGATGCGACCAAAAATGTCATCATCACATACATTTTTGATGACGACTATATACTTGGACAGACAAAAATGAGCAAAGAAAAGAAAAGAAAAACGGACCTTTGATTGGCATTTCGTCTTCCACTATATACAACTCGGCATCATCTTTTTGATGAGGGTTCGTGCCTGAAAATTAGAGAGTTGTATTGCTTTAAAATAATAGTGAAAATAAAAGAACAAAGAGTAATCTAAGAGCTCAATGTCTGTGAGAGTTTTGAGAGCTCCGTTTAACTGAACACTCCCCCTGGGACATGGCCTCCCGTTTCTTCCCTTTTTTAGGAATTCCTGATGCTTGACACCCAATTTTTTTGCTGCGATGTGACAAATGTCTATCAAGAGGTTCACAAATCAAAATGCGGAGGTTATTTGATTGTTTGTTCGACATTTCAAGATGGATACAGTATGGTTCAATGTGACATGTAAACCAGACAAGTGACGGATAGAATGGAAGTTATGTTTTGTTTTTTTTGAATGAAGATTCGAAAATTCTGCAAAAATCTTTCACTATGAAGCAATAGTATTTTTCAAATTCAGAGCTAATCAGGTCGCTCCATGTAATTGAGACTGGGGATTTCACAAAACCTGCAATACAAGGGCCCCCACACTGCCAATTTTAAACTCAATAATCTCGATTCCTGTGAAATACATCGAAAATGTGTCAACTGATAACATTTTTCTGATATCATGAAAAACAATTTAACAGTTGTCAACTTTCTTATATCTTTGGCAGGAATTTAGATAAATTGGCTGAAAGTTGAAAGATGGGGGGGGGGGGGGTTCTTATACATATATCAGGTATTACGATATTTAACCAATCACACCCAAAAAAAGCCCAGGTCCAAAACATCAATTTTCTGACTTCACAGCTACTCGTCACCTACCGTAATCGTTCCCCCAACGACTTACCGTATCTCAATGGCAGCGCCCTTTCGCCGTTTCCAGCGAAACGACGACGCATGAAACCGCTAATTGACTCGTCGTACGACGTTGTGTGTTCGAACGCCTACAAATGAAAAAAAAAGTAACGTCTTCTGATGTATCTCTTGTTGTTTATTCTTTGTTTTCTGCCCCCTTCAAAAGGATGCCACCCACTCCAAACTTTTTCTCTTTTTAGTCTTTGCACCCCCTAACTAAAAGAAACCTTATTTCCTCTGTGCATTTGCCCGTAGATTCTGTCAAACAGTCGAGAATTGCTCTGTGATCGATGCCGTGAATCATCGTTTATCGGTGGCGGTTGCTTCCATTTATAAGCCATTGACGATATCCGAGACATTTTTTGTGTAGTGTAGTGTAGTTCAAGAGGAAGAAGAAGATGGATAATGTAGGATAGGATGTCTAGAAAAGTGGGAGTTTGATATAAAGATATCGAATTCGGTGATTCGCAGGTGATTCGCAGGTGATTTGATGACAGGTGATTCGCGAACAATCCGTTACTGACGCTCAGCGTTCGCGCGCGGTTGAAATAGGAACCGTATACGGACCGCACGCGACCCGTTTTCAGAAAACCACAGCACATTATTTCGTATTTCTCCGTATTCTGTCCGTTTGCGAACTCCATATCCGATCCGATTGCGAATGATAAACAAACGGATCCGTTCGCTAACTTAAACTTTTATCTGATTCGCGAACGGATCCGTTTGTCCATCATTCGCAAGCGGATCGGATACGGAGTTCGCGAACGGACAGAATACGGAGGAATACGGAATAATGTGCTGTGGCTTTCTGAAAACGGGTCGCGTGCGGTCCGTATGCGGTTCCTATTTCAACCGCGCGCGAACGCTGAGCGTCCGTAACGGATCCGTTCGCATTTTACCTTCGAAGGTGTACAACGGAAAAAAAGATAAAATAGTGTTTTAATTGGGAGTGATATTTGTAAGATTCAAAGCAGTCAGTATTTACAAAGAAATAGACCATATCCACCGTAAAACATGTAATAGTAGGGTCCCTACTCTGTCAACTTTGAGGTAATTTATCTCGGCTCCTGTGAGAGATATTAAAAAAAAATAACAAAATGATGAAATGTTACTGATATTATGCTGAACATTTCCCATGTTGACTGCTTTTTGATATCTTTAACAGGAACCGAGATATATAAGCTCAAAATTGGCGGCTCGAATGGCCTTCTATTAGAATCTTTACTACTATTAATAGGTCGTGGATCAAGACACTACTGACACCTCGGGAGTTTTTTCCAGAAAAAATGAAGAAAATAACTTTTGTGGGATTGAATTTGAAAGCTGACTGATCCGTAAGCGAACAAATTTTAACACACATGAATTGGTTTAAAATTCCAATCGGAAATCCGTTTTCTCCAACGAACCGAGTAGAAACCTTTGACTTCTTGTCCCCCATAACTCTTCCTTATATAAGACGTCGGCATTGTTTCAAAAAAAAAAGCACAATATGAAGAATAGGAAAGGACAAAACAAACGAATTTATACATTGGAAGAGAGACACGACGACATCTTTTGGAATGAGTTTTTGCACCGAAGGGAATGAAGAGCAACCTGATAGGTTTCGGAAGAAAGCGAAGTGTGAGAGATGAATTTGGAATGGGTTATTATAGTAGAAACAATTTGGAGAGGTCATTTTTGCATAGATCAATGAAGGGAAGTCTTCAATTTCAGATTTTGGTTAAGAAATTAGGGACAGTTTTGAAGAGAGGAAGCTCGAAAAGTTGAGGAATTCTGACTCAAAAATATTCTTTTGGAGAATTCAATTACCAGAACTGGATAAAAATTTATATACTATACTTGCGACTGGCCGGGCTGGGCTTTTCCAGAATTTTCAAGTTCTGGCTCTGGCTGTTTTTTGTTTTTGATTCAATTTTTTCCTGTCTTTTCAGAACATTTTCCGGGTCAATAAAAATTATAAACAAATTTTCTGCCAAATCGAAATCTCGCCAAAAACGGAGCACCACTAAACATATTCTTATACAAAAAAGATCAATTTTTTTTTTCAAATGAGAAAAACCAGGACCGGAGAAGTCGCTGGACGGTCCTGATTTTTCAAGTATGTTCTATACATACATGTGCTGAAAAAATTTATGCTGATAACTAAATCAGGTCAATCACAAAATTCAACGTAATCTTGAAATGGAACAACTATTTCCAATAGAAAACGATAACTTTCGCTATACTTGCTTCTACGAAACCTAAAAAAGATCATTTTCACCTTACTATGACGGATCAAAACATACAAAAAAGTGGAGCAAACCACGTGACGCTCACTTTTTTCATAGTGTTTCGCGATTTTTTTCTTCACCGAAAACAATTAGATTTGGACAAAAAAGAAGAAGAAGAAACTGGACGTCCCCAAGGAGTATCAGGGTACAAGAACTTTGTGTACCTGATTGTCCAAATTGCTTTTTTTCTTCAAAATGATGGCGACATTGTCGATGTCCGGGGCTGAGGAAAGCCATCGTCGCCTTCGAAAATTTGAGAGAAAAAGGAGATATGAGCAACGAAGCGAGCAATTGGTTGGAAACTTTGCCTCAATTGTGCGGGGATCTTTCCGTTTGGAAAGTTTATGACCGACAGAAGAAGCGAGAAGTGCCGGGGTCCTCTCCGACCGAAAAACGTTGAAATTCCAACAGAGAGACGGGCGGTCCACCGCACGGGTCCAAGGACAAAAAATGGAGAAGTTGATGAGAATGAGGGATTAGAGCAAAAAGGAAAATGGGTCAGTGGCCAAGAGTAAAAGAAAAATGGGGAGAGGAATGAGCGGAACGATGGTGCAAAAAGTTCATTTGGTTTCTGAGGTTAGGTCGAGGAGTGCATGGGAGCAGTTGTTCTGATTCTAATCCATTGGGCACTGAGGAAGTAGAATTTTGTATATTTTTTGGGAAGAAATCATAAATCAATGAGCGGAATGATGCTTTGTAATTTGAACAAAGTACCAAAAGATCTAGATGCTCGGAACGGAATTCGGAATCGAGCGGGGG